GCTGCTGCTGCTGCTGCTGCTGCTGCAGGCTGTCTCGAGGCCCAGCTAATTTCAGGTGTACGGACTCCGCAGCAGTGGCCAGCGCGACTGCTGCCGATTCAGCTGTCTATACACCTCAAAAATTAAAACTAAAAAGCGTTTTATTTATTTATTTAAAGCCAGAGACACATTGAGTGGTGGCGAAGGTTCTGGGGGGCCCCACCTGGGGGGGCCCACGCAGCAGCAGCAGCAGCAGCACTAACAGCAGCTGCTCTGCTGCTGCTGCTGCTGCTGCAGCGGGTCTCGGTGTCTTGGCAGCCAGCAGGAGCAGCCCCTCCCAACTCCTTTGCTGCATATTTATTTATTTATTTATTTTGTTTGTCATTTGTCCTCTCAGTTTGCTGCTGCAGCAGCTAGCTGCTGCTGCAGCACGGGCGTCGCCGCCCAACGGCGAGCACGAGCAGCTGTTGCTGCTGCTGCAGCTGTTGTTGCCGCTGCAGCTCTTGCTGCTGCTGCAGCTTTTGTTGCTGCTGCAGCTGGTGTCGCTACTGCAGTTGTTGCTGCTGCTGCAGCTGTTGCTACCGCAGCTGTCGCTGCTGCCGAAGCGTTGCTGCTGCCGAAGCTGTTGCTGCCACCACAGCTGCTGCTGCTGCTGCAGCTGTTCCTCCTGCTGCAGCTGTTGCTGTTGCTGCAGCTGGTACTGCTGCTGCAGCTGTTTTTGCTACTGCAGCTGTTGTTGCTGCTGCGGCTGTTTTGCTGCTGCTGCAGCTGTTGCTGCTGCAGTCCTGCAGCTGTTGCTGCTGCAGCTGTTGCTGCTGCTGTTGCTGTCCTTGCATTTTCGCTGCTGCTGCGCAGTTTGCACATATAGCGGCTTCCGTTGCAGCAGCAGCAGCAGCAGCAGCTAGCTGGCTACCGGCGAGGCTGCTGCTGCGCTGCTGCGAGGCAAGTGACACAAGGAGAGCAAGAAGCAGCAGCAGCGCAGCAGCAAAATAAAATAAATAAAAGACGAAAATAAAAAAATAGAAAAGCCTTTAAGTGCAGCAGCGGCTCCAGGAACTGTAGATACACCCGAGCAGCAAAAAGAACAGAAAAGAAAAAATGGGAAAGCGAAAAAGAGCTGGGGTGTACATACACCCCAACTGATCGTTGTTGTCTTTCTTTATCTTTTTGAATTCCTTTTTTTAATTTTCGAATTTTATTTTAATTTTTGAATTTCATTTTAATTTGTAATTTCATTTTTTTCTTTTTTGTTTTTCTGTGGTGCTTCTGGCACTGTCCGGACACTCGCGAGGCCTCTCCACTTACCCTTATTTGTTTTTATTATTATTTACACATTTATTATTATTACTATTATTATTATTATTATTATTTATTATTGTTATTATTATTATTTTATTTTTATCTTGTTTTCCTTCTTTGCCGCTGCCTGCTGCACCTAGTTGGGGTGTACAGACAGCCCGCGGGCGAAGTGGCCTCAGCGAGAAGCAGCAAATTGGCTCAAAAGTTTTTCTTTTTTGTCATTTTTCGTCCTTTTTTTGTCTTTTGATTATTTGAATGTTATCTCCTTCTTCCTTTGTTTATTTTTGTCTTTTTCTGTCTTTTTTTGCTTCTTTTTTACCTCTTTTCGACTTCTTTTTATCTCTTTTTGACTTTTCCACTTCTCAGTGAGCCCCAGGAACAATAAAAGAGGCAAAAGCATTGTTTTAAATATAAATGGCAATAAAAGCCATTAACAGAAAATGGCAGAAAAGATGAAAACTAAAAAATAAAGAAAAGTTAAAAAAGAAAGGAAATAAAAGAAATAAAAGAAATGAATTAAAGGCCAAAAGTGATTAGAAGGACGAAAAAGAAACAAAAAGGAAAAAAGACAAAAAGAGACAAAAGAAACGAAAATAAAAGGAGACAAAGAGAAATCAAAAAAAGAAAAAAGAAATAGAAGACAAAAGAAGTAAAAAATGATTGAAAACAAAAGAGAAAAAGAGCGAAGACAATTGCTGCAGCAAAAGAAAAGAAATAAAAATGCGACAGACACAAAAAGGAAGTTCCTCTTTGTTAAATCCTGGAGAGCAAAATAAACAAGTGCAACCTGGCAAGCTGCCGCTGCTGCTGCTGCTGCAGCGGCAGCTGCAGCAGCAGTTGGCCTAGCAGCCGGGTTCGGTTGCTTCTTGCCTTGCTGCGCTGCTGCTGCTTCTCTTGCTGCTGTTGCTGGTGCAATTCGCTGCAGCGCAGCAGCAGCTGCGTGAGCCTCTTCTAAAGCTGCTGCCGTCTTGGCCGCTGCTCCTGCTGCTGTCGCAGCGCCTGCTACTGCTGCGGCAGCAGACCAGCAGACTGTGCTGCTGCCGCCGCAGCAGCAAATCGCGCCGCAGCAGCAGCAGCAGACCCTGCTGCTGCTGCTGCTGCAGCTCAAAGGAAGTCCTCCTCGTCTACTTCTGGAATAAGAAGCTCTGATGTCCCTCCTGCTGCTGCTATTGAGTCTGCGAAGCGCGGCAGGGAGGCTTGCTGCTGCCGTTTGTCGCGGGCTGCTGCTGCTGTTGCTGCTGCGGCAGTTACTGCTGCTGCGTGCTGCTGCTGCAGCGGGTGTCCCGCTGCTGGCAGGCCCGCACCAGCAGCAGCAGCAGACGCGGAGGCAGCAGCAGCAGCAGCAGCAGCAGCCGCAGCCGCGCGATGGCGCTGCACCTCCTCCGCGGTTCGCTGCTGCTGCAGCTGGTGCTGCTGCAGCGCATGGGCGCTGGCGCTGCAGCCTCGCAGCAAGTGCTGCTGTAGCTGATGCAGCTGCTCCTGCTGCTGCTGCTGCTGCTGCAGCAGCTGCTCCTGCGTCTGGGCACTGACGTGCGGCCCAAAAAACTGCTCGTGGAAGGCAGGGTTAAGCCCGTGCTGCTGCATGAAGAGCTCTTGCTGCTGCTGCAGCAGCGCAGCACGCTTCTTGTCTTCTGCTTCGAGCACAATTGCAGCAACAGCAGCAGCAGCAGCAGCTTTCTTCCGGTTTCTGTTCTTTGTTGCAACTCCGCCCCCTCTTTTCTTTGGCTCAGCAGGCTGAGAGCCCCCCGAGGCGGCCCCAGGAGTGGCCTGGGAAGCAGCGGCAGGTGCTGCTGCTGCTGCTGCTGGTACTGCTGCTGCTGGTGCTGCTGCTGCGGAGCTCGCCGGCGTCACGCCCGCCGCACCGCCCCCAGAAGCAGCAGCAGCAGCAGCAGTTGCTGCAGACTCGTGGACCCGAGAAGCGCCCTCGCCAGCTGCTTGAGCAGCAGCAGCAGCAGCAAGATTTGCTGCTGCTGCTGTCGGCACTAGGGGAGCTGCAGCAGGAGCGCTGGACGCTGCTGCATTGGCTGCATGCGCCAGGTGCTGCCTGCTGGCAGCAGCAGCAGCAGACTGCTGCTGCTGCATGTGGTGCTGGAAGTAGTGCTGTTGCTGCTGCTGCTGCTGCTGCTGCGAGAAAGCCATTTGCTGCAGCGGCGTAGAAGGAGGTGCAGCAGCAAGACGGACAGCAGCGGGAGGCAGCCGCGGGGGCTCTGCCTGCAGGTCGAAGTGCAGCAGCTCTAAAAACTGCAGCAAACGATTCCTGCAGCAGCAGCAGCAACAGCAGTGTCAAAAATAAGTCTACCGGAGCAACAGCAGCAGCTGCTGCAGACGCTGCTGCTGCTGAATCTGTTGCAGTTCGAGGATGTGGCTTTAATTAAGCGGGGACCAGTAAGCTGCTGCTTCAGCAGCAGCAGCAGCAGCAGTAGCAGGGCGCCGAACCTAAAGGAGAGAGGAATGATGCTTCCTGCTGCTGGGATTTGCAGCAGCATCCGAAGGTCTAAAGGCGTTAGCCGCAGCAGCAGCAGCCGTTGGCTGTGAGCGACCTGCAGCAACAGTGCAGCAGCAGCAGCAGCAGCACGGTCAAGGGGAGAAAGGGTGTGCTCCAGCAGCAGATATCCGCAAAAACAGCTGCTGCTAGAACTGCTGCTGCAGTATGTCCGGCGCACAATCCTGGCAGCAGCAGCAGCAATTGCAGCAGCAGCAACTCACCTCTGCAAACTCTTGGGCCTTTTCCAGAGCTACTTCTTCTGGTCTCTGTTGCTGCTGCGGCTGCTGCTGTCCCTCACTAAAGCCCGATGGCCCTCTACTGCTGCCTGCAGCAGCAACAGAGTCAGCTGCCACTGCTGCTGCTGCTGCTGCAGATACCCCCATGCTCGCTGACGCGTCCGCCTGCACATTAAGCAGCAGAAGCAGCAGCTCAGCAGCAGAAGATGCAGCAGCAGCAAGCGCAGATGCGGAACGTGGAGCAGCGTCAAGTGCAGCAGCAGCAAGAGCTGCAGCAGCAGCAAGAGCTGCAGTAACAGCAAGAGCAGCAGCAGCAGCAGCAAGAGCAGCAGCAGCAGCACCTCGTCTGTTTTGCATGCTTGGCCTCCCCCCGAACCCCCTCGAGCCTTAAGCCGGTGCTTCACTCTGCGGCGTCCCTCATTTAGGCGGTGCAATCTCTCTGCCTGCAGCAGCAGCAGCAGCAGCAAACGCAGCAGCAGCAGCAAATGCAGCAGGAGCAGCAAAGGCAACAGCAGCACTAGCAATGCATGAAGAGGCACGAATCTATTCGGAACACGAAGCAGGCGTGGATGCGCAAAGAAGCCCCACTGCGGCAACGCAGCAGCAGCTGCTGCAGCAGCACAGCAGCAGCTACTGCAGCAGCAGCAGCAGCAGCAAGCCTTACCAACTGCTGGTCGCTTTCCCTACGCAGGAACAGTTCAGCTAGGACGGAGAAGCTCAGCTGCGGCTTGAGGCCGAGCGCGTTTTGCTGCTGCGGCTTCTGCGAATGCGCGCCTGTTGCTGCTGCTGCTGCTGCTGCAGTGCCCCACTCGGCAGTAACGCCTGCTTCTGCGTCGTCGCTGCTGCTGCTGCTGCTGCTCCTGCCGCCCTGCATCAGCCGCGTGAGCATTCGGTCTACTCTGTATTGGGAAATTGCTTCGAGACAAGGGGACAGCAGCCTGCAGCAGCAGCAGCAAATGCAGCAGCAGCAGCGAAAATGCAGGAG